TATTGCCCCCAACAACAATCTGGGTCCTCATTTTACCCACCTCGGAAGGATGGAAGGCTGAGTCAACCTTGAGCCTGGTGGGATTTGAACAGCCAAACTGCTGAACTGCAGTGCTGCATTTTAACCACTGCGCCACCTATTTACAGAAAAACAAAAAGTGTTTGCAAAGCGGGCCTCCAAGTCTCTTCCCAAGTGGGTCAAGTACAAGGAGAGCAAAGAATAGCATTCAAACAATACATTTTATACACTCTAATCCCAAGAATCTTTCTCCCTCCTGCTCATTCATATAAGGCATTTCTTTCATCATTCCATACTCTAAAGGGTCAACTTGACCATTTCTTCAGAGGCCCCTATCTCTTATTTGGTTTTTTCTGGTGCCTTTTGTCTGAGCAGATGGCTTCCTATCTAACTTGTACATAGGCACCTGTAAACAGCTTGGAATAACAAAGGTCATCTTGTCCTGTTTACTGAACACATTTTGGGGTTAGCAAAAGCACAGTAACTTACTACACATTTTAGGCAAGAATATAATGGCTTATACATTTAACGTTGTATAAGAATACAAAAGTAACCTTTTAACATTTTATAAAAGAGTAACTTAATATCATTTTCTTTAGCTGTTTAATTTTAACACAGATAGTGTATTTTACCCCTCTTTCAAACCAAGAATCCTCTATTTCCAGTCAGACCTGCTTAGTGCTTGGATGGGAAGTTTAGAAGTAGATCTCAAGAGGTTGCCCCAACTGAATGCAACCCCTACGGTTATTTTGAGTTTTACTCCAGCCAGCATGACCAAGGACAAAAGTGAAAATGATAACTCATAACTTTTGGAGGCATGAGTGAATATGCTCCCCACAATCTAGACAGGTCACAGTTTTCACAGACCAGGAGAAAGGAAGATTAGTCCAAAGGAATCTTTATTTTAGGCACTGAGTGGTTTTCTAACAGGTCCCTCTTTCCCATCTTGGTTTTAAAAAGAAAAGTTGACACTTAGAATCCCACACACAATCTGCTGTGTAAGATTTTGTATCTGAGATTATGAACTTGGTGTGTCTGGGCACCAGGGCATCTACAGGTCATTTCCTTGAAGTCCACAGTTTCTTGTTCTACTGAATTTTATTGTTCCCGTTCTCTTTTTAGATGCTTGTTTCATAAAGCGGATTTTAAACAGGGGAGCTATCTTAAGTGCAAAGCAAAATGCCAATCTTCAGAGGGAGTTATCTGTCCAAGGACAACTGAAGGGCAGCTATTCATTGCTTCATCTTTGACTTTTTCTAAAAGGTTGAACTTGCAAATATATAGTTAGTTCTCCAGGAGGAATGCAAACGTCAGAAGCGTTGCAGATCACCTCTGCAGAGTCCTATCTTTTCAGCTCTATATGTCTGTGAAGATTCTCAGCCATCCAGATCATGGTTGTCGTTTCGCTCTTTATCCAAGAAGCTTCTTCAGCTCTGAAGAAACTTCATCTATCTCCAATCTACAACACAATCCTTTCAACAGATCCAAGAAGGCTCCACACCAATTTCCACCACTCAGGTGACCCTGACGACTCAGATAAACCTCCAGGTGACCTTAACAATCCGCTAAAAGAATGTAGATGTCCAGATGTCTGCAAGGAGTATAAATCCTTCCATTCCCCACCATCCAGTCAGAGCTGAAGAAGCTTCTTGGATCTCTCTAGGCATTCCAGCTGTCGTCCGTTGCTCTTCCAGGTTCCAGCATGAGCCGGCCAGCATAGGAGTGCCAGAAACTGGAAGAGCAGCTCCATGACATGCATACACGCCCCCGGAACCTGAGCTTTCAGTTTTTGGTATGCACATGTGCGCCACTCAGTTGGTCTTCACGTGCGCATGTATGACAGAAACCGGAAGCTCAGCTCTTTAGAACTGCTCTTCCAGTTTCCGGCATTCCTGCCCGTGCCGCCAGGCAGCTGCTCTTCCAGTTTCTGGTGCTCGCGCATGTGTGCTTGCTCCCATTTCAGCATAAAAGGTTCACCAACACTATTACAGACAGAAGCCTGGAGAAGATTGGGCTGTTTTAATGAGCAACAGTAAGATGTTGGGCTCCTGAACATCCCACAGCCCTTCTTCCAAATCATTTGCAAAGCATGCTGGCTGGGTCATAAAGCTCAGCTTCTCTCCTATTAAAAATGACAATTCGATAGCAGGTTTTGGGCATTGCACCCAGGAGATATATAGGATTTCAGCTTGTGAACATCTGTCCTACATGAGACAAGAGGGGGGGGGAAATCCTTCTTGTGATTCATTGGAAAACGTCCCATATATTCCATGAAATATGGAACCTGGTATCCGAAAACGCATGCAGCAGAAATTGGAAGGAACTTCCCATCTGACTGTCTCAAGAAGATTAATGGCTCCAGAACTGGCCTCGCTATCTCTTTCGTCTCTAAATGGAAACAGCAATCTAATTTTGCAGAAGTCTCCCTCCCAGCAGCTCTTTCATCTTAAATCCCAGTGTACGGACTTCTTCCCTCCCTTCCCTCTGCCTTCAGCTTTTTCTGAACGATCGATTCATAAATCCAACCAACCACCTGTGAATAGTTAGGTAAAGAAGGAGGAGGAGG